AGAAAAATAAGAACTTCCTTCACCGTTGCCTTGCCAGCGTTGCTTAGTTACCTTGTCAACATTCCCTCATGGCCCAGCAGAGTTCGCTCTGCATATTTTTATTGTGCATTTGTTTTATTGCTAAAGTTGATCTATTAAGCAGAAAATGTGGAGAACACATGGAGCTGCTGTCAGTTTTATGTTGTTTGTTTGGATTCCTGTTTTCCTCTTTCCAAAAACCTTGTGCACTTTCATTCCAAAGTCACACACTGAAGGAATGGCATCTGTGTCTACACTTGTGTTAGGCTTTGGGGCATGAAAAGCAAAAGTTCAGACTGACCACAAACTGAACACCAGACTGTGAGGTCTTCATAGACAGAAGCCAGGTTTTAATTAATTCTGCTGCACCCTTGATACCTAGTCCTGTGTTGATGAATAAAGAGGCCTTGGTAAACATTATTCAATTAAATGAGCAATTGGCTTCAACTATTTATTAAAAGCCAGCATTATAATGGGTGCTATTCATAACAGAATTTTTCTTAGTGTTTCTATCCAGGGCCTAACACCTATGACTTATTCTTTTCTTTCTGGATACTAGACAAAGACAGCAAATAACCACTTATTAGCCTAAGAAGCTTCTGGCATGTGGCTGCAGTAGCAATAGCCACTCTCCATGTGGTATATCACATGGATTCCCTGAGTCCTAGAGGTAGGTGCTTGGTGCTCTGCTATCCAGATCCACCCAGATCAGAACACCCCCCCATCCCATCCCCCCACCCACCCCCACAAGCAAAGCAGCTGAGACAAAAACAGTAGGCTCTTCTCACCCCCTCCTCAACGCATACACAGTTACCTGCAGACCCTGGTCATGAAGCAAACTGTTGACAAAATCACAAGAATGAGTTTATGCCTTTAGCTGTCCAGCCCATCACCTGCCCCACCTAGGGCTTCAAGCATTTGTTTCCGAGATGTTGTCATAGTCTTCATTACTAACATGCCCCTGCCCCCTTCGGTAGACCAGGCTTGATACTCAGTGTCATCTGCTTATGGGTCAGTAGATCTGATGTCATTTGGCGTTTGTCTGAAGTGCAAACTTGAAGCTGTACTATATTTAAACACAACCTCGGGTTTCCATGTTAACGTGTGATAAGCACCATGTCTGCTTTTTATAACAGTGCTGGAGATTGAACCCACAGCTTTGCACTTGTTGGGAGAGTGCCCCGCTACTGAGTTGAGGCTTAGGTGCCAGGAGGCCAGCACTGCTGTCAAATGGAACTAATGATACCGCATCTCTGTACTCCTTCTGGTCCTTGATGTCCACGGGATTTAAAATAGCTGCAGTGAAAAAGCCATGTACATTTCAGGGGCAAAGAAATGAGCTGAGAACTAGATTCATTAGTGAAGGATCTGGAGCAGTGTGGAGTTTAATCACAAGCATCCGATTCAAGAACTTACTTGAGAAATAAACATCTAAAGACGCTTCTCTTTAGTTGGGCAGTGGCAGTGCATACCTTTTATCCCAGCACTCAAGAGGCAGAGGCAGGTGGATCTCTGTGAGTTCGAGACGAGCCTGGTCTACAGAGTGAGTTCCAGGAAAGTCAGGGCTACACAAAGAAACCGTCTTGAAAAACAGCTGTAACAACAAAAAAAGAAAGATGCTTCTCTCTCACCAAACCTGCCAGGAAGGCAAAAATCAGAGCGAGAGAGTCAGAGAGAGAGAGAGAGAGAGAACAAGAAAATTTACACACCCACGTATGCCTTTGCACAGGCCTTGGGGGAAAAGTTGGCTCTTGCTTTCCATCTGTCACTCAAAGACCTGCAATCCTCCTGTTGCTACTCAACTTCCCCACTTCCGAACCCATGAAGCACTAGGTGGGGTTGGTCATGCACTTAGCCACACCCTGACTTTTAAGTGCATGTTGGGTATCTAAGCTCAGGATTTCAAGTTTGCTTAGAACCATATCCCAGCCCCAAGACAGTGATTGTAAACCTGAATAGAGTTTGAGATAAAAGTCCCTCCAGTTAAAGAGACAGATCTTGAAATCTGTTACTTAAATATCACCGGAATAAAGAAAACATACCCTAAATTCTAATAAAGTTTGGCTATTTGTTGTTATGTTTGTGCCAATTACTTGAAATTTTAGGGGATTTAATGAGAAAGTTCTTTGGGGGTGGGGGTTCAGACAGGTTTTCTGTACAGTGCTAACTGCTAGAACTTACTCTGTAGATTTCAAACTCATAGAGATCGGCCTGCTTTGGCCTCCCGAGTGGTGGGATTAAAGTTGTGTGCCACCACCATTCTGCTGAGAAAGTTCTTATATGTTTCCATTGGGGATGTCAGACAGATCTGTGTCCATGAGAGCCTGGTGCATGGTGTCCATGAGAGTAGACACTATGGCCGCACAAGCAGCAGAATCAGAAGAGGTACTGAGGGTTGTGGAATTGGGGGAAGAAGATGGCTCTCAGGACCATGGGAGCTGATGGGATCCTTGTTATCACCCAGTCTTCCTTGCTAAATGGAGGCAGCCACCTGTCACTGTGAGGAAAAGGAAGAGCAGAGTCTCACCATGGCTTCTCTGTCTTCCTGACCTCTCACTCCTGCATTTATCTTGGTGAGGACCTTAAAGGGTTCAGATTTCTTCAGGCTCTTTCAGGCAGACTAAACCTTCAAGCAGCCTACCTGCTACCCTCCCTGCTTACCTCCCTTCCTGCTTCCTTCCTTCCTTCCCTCCTTCTCTCACCCTTCTTTTTCTATGGCACTGGAGTTGAATCTACTGGCTCATGCATTCTGGGTAAGTTTCTGCCTTTGAGCTTATAACCCAGTCATTTAAAGAGAGATTGATTGCACCTGCCCATGCCTTAGAGTTTGATATCCATGTAGTTGATAGACCAGAGTACCCTGGAGTATGACTTCGTGGAAGATCTCAGGCAGGTTGTCATGTGATATTTTCTACATGGATCTTTTTGTGGGAGCAGGGAATTTATGCTTAATGCCATAAGACAAGAAGAAAAGAGATCCATTTTCCCGATGTGGCATTCCAGGGAAAAGCTATTGGGAAAAGGGTGGGAGAAGAGAGGAGGTGTGAGTACCGGGCTATGGGAGAGACAGGAAGAGGCACATGGTAGCAGGACCATGGCTGTGCTGAGCAAAGAGCAAAATTAGTGGGAGGGAATCCTATCTCTCAGGAAGATCTAACGGAAATTAATTTTGTTTGAAAATGCCTTGATGAAACCTAATACTGTACATGCTATTTTAAAATTGTTAAGATATCTCTGGAACATAGTCCTGTGTTAACATGATCACATGTGGGGGTGGTGAATTCCTTGTGGGTGTAAATAAAGCAGTTCAGAGAGCTCATCCTCTAGTCCTCTGTAGCAGATTCTGTACTGGCTGTTCTGAGGCTGGCCTCAGCTCTGGGCTCACTTTGCTACAATTTGGCTTGAGTGGACCTATTATCTCCTTCTGTGTCAAAGCTATAGGGCAACCTTTACCTCAACCCACTCTTTATTGGCAACTTCTGGGAACAAGGAACAGACTTCTGGGTAGGGAGCTTTATAAACCGTAGGAAAGGCGGTGTAAAATACGTCACAGTTCAGAGTGTGGGACCATGTGGAAAGTGTCTTTACAAGGGACCAACAAACCAAATTTGGTGCCAGCTGTGCCTCCTGCTAGCTACAGGCTGTTATCAAGCCAGTAAATCCTATCACCTAAAGATCAGTGAAAAATGATACTTGCTGTGAGTCTGCTCATCTTCCAGGAATCTATGAATCTTGCCAGAGTTTTGAGAGTCAAGTGAAATAATGGACTTCGCTGTCCATTGTAGCAACCACTAGACATGCATGGCTGAATAAATTCAAGTTAAAGTAAGATATAGTATAAAGTTCAGTTCCTTAGTCACACCGTCTACATCCAACTGCTCAATACCGCATGTGGAGAGAGAGTGTCACATTGTACCACAAGTACATCTAACATGTACGTTGCCAGAGCAAGTTCTGTTGAACAACTCCGTTCCAAAGGGCTCCTGGGAGTGATATTAGGATAAAGGATGGTGTGTTGTAGAGGTGACAACTGCTGTCATAGTTAGGGCTCCTTGCAAAGGAACAACTAGCTTAAATTAGCAGAATTAACATCAAGGATTTATTTGACTACCCTGGAAGAACAAATGTATCCTAAAGGTAAGAAGCGTAGCTACGCTTCAGGACTGCTGGGACCATTTCTTAGATTGTCTGGAACTAAAGGACCCACTTTCCCCCTCTTACTGCCTCTTTCTTCCTTGTGTCCTTCTCTCCAAGGCTACTTGGGCATGTGCTCTGTTTCAACAATCACAGCTGCAGCTGCCTCCTTCTCTACTCTTCCTCTCCCTTTCCCTCTTTACCTTCTCTTCCTCATCTCCCTTTCCCTCCCTCTCCTGTTCTTTTTCTTCCTTTTTACCCTCTCTTCTTGTTCCTTTCATACCTGTCCCCAACCCCCCACATCTCTCTTCTACAGTTCAGCCTTTGCAACTGCATTACACATGACCCATACAGGGCTTAAGCTGACCACTTTCATTCTCTTCTTATAGATCCAGCAGATGCAGACTCCTGGTTTCTTTTAGTCTTCTGGTATGGTAGTCACCTGGTCCCATCATCTCTATTTGGGAAGTCAGAGACAATCTTATTCTTACTCATTAGTCTCCAAAAAGGAGTAGATAGGCAATAGGACTGAATCATTGGCCAAAACACTCTTCCTTGGCACCTTGGAAAAGCCCTTAGCTTAAGATCACACAGAGAAGAGCCAACAAGGATTTGACAGGGACACAAATAAAAAGAGGGTAGCCTCTTTTCTTCCTTAGTTGTTTGGCATAGCTCACAGTGCCAGTGCAGCCTTCAGGGCAATAATAGCTTAACCTCCACATTCACAGACTGAGACCCAGAGGCACTAAACAAAGCCAGTAATGCAAGGTGGAAATTCTCCTACGTCTCTGTTAGTTCTTACGTGCAAAGTGAGCACTCACAAGTTCCCCTTTCTATCTTGCCTTTAGGAAGGAACATGAGGTTCCCTTGGAGATCATTCAAGAGGAAGATGGAAGGAGCCATTTGTAATTGAGTAAAAGTACAGGCTGCAAGACTGGAGCCTGAGGGCTGGCAGTGGAAAACTCTATTGGGCTGTGATCTCTCACTGAAAAGTCCCAAGTGCCTTTTTGCTTCCTGCAAAAGGAAGAAAGACAAGGAGACCATGTCCATAGCCCTAAAGCAAGTGTTCAACAAGGACAAGACCTTCCGACCCAAGAGGAAATTTGAACCTGGCACACAGAGGTTTGAACTGCATAAACGAGCGCAGGCATCTCTCAATTCAGGTGTGGACCTGAGAGCAGCTGTGCAATTACCCAACGGGGAGGACCAGAATGACTGGGTGGCTGTGCATGTGGTGGACTTCTTCAATCGCATCAACCTCATCTATGGCACCATCTGTGAGTTCTGCACTGAGCGGACCTGCCCAGTGATGTCAGGGGGTCCCAAATACGAGTATCGGTGGCAGGATGACCTCAAGTATAAGAAACCAACTGCACTGCCAGCTCCCCAGTACATGAACCTGCTTATGGATTGGATTGAAGTCCAGATCAACAATGAGGACATATTTCCAACATGTGTTGGTGAGTGTACGACCAATGAGTGGTTTTTGCTTTTATGTTTTCTTAAGAAAATGTTTTGTTTCATTCTTTCCCGAGCTGATAAAGTTTTCATAATGTGAGTCTTACACTGTCTGAATACTAGAAGCACCCATGTCAATGTTTCCCTAAATTCCATCAGCTATACATCTAAAATTTATCTGAATATGATCAAAATGGACAGAGGTCATTTATGGTCTGTTTGTGATTTTTGTGGACTCTAAGTGGTGTATATTCCACATGCTTGGGGGTATTAGGAAAATGTTAACTTCTTGGCTAAGAAAAGGGCTAGACTCCATATCTACTCAGCCTCAAAAGATTTTTTTGGTTTTGGCTAATTGGCATGCAAGGTTGCATTGATTGGGATGTGACTACTGTTAGTATTAACCTTTCAAAATTAAAAATCACATTATGGGAACCCATAGATTATCTGAGGAACAAGCACACAAGGTTCATATCCCGGGAAAATGAAGATTCTGGCATTTGCCTCTCTTCTAATCACAGCTTATTGCAGTTTCAGGCCGTACTATTAACTCTGTTAACTACTAAACAGACAGGAATATTTGAAATACAGATATTTTGGCTTGTTTTATGTGATCAACCATAAAGTATAAAGGTTTGGAGTCAGCCTTTCCCACCTCTTGCGTTGCTAGCTATTGCATTCCCACGTACCGACAGGCTGGATATGGAATTCATTGCTTTACAGTCAAGGCAAAGTAGGAATGAGAGAATTCTTGTTTCCACGACCGTGTCTCCAGTACTTAGAAAGGTGCCTGGAGCCTGCATAGGCACTCAGCAACATTTCTAAGAGGACTAAATACTGTCCTATTGGGACAGCTGAGATACAAAAAAAGGATGTGAGGCTTATGATGACTGCACATAAAAAGCACACAATGAAGTCCATTGAAATCACTGTAGATGGAGAGGTGTCCCCAACTTGAGAAAGGATGTGTAGTAGTAATTAGGTTTATAGTAGGAAAGAAAGGATATAAATTGACTGGTCCAGTATGGTGCATCTTTAAGTATTCAGCGCATACCAGTTTGTCAGGATCCTGGCTTTGCCTTAACTTGTCTAGTCCCCTCATGTTTCCCTCTCCTGTCCTTTGTTACCAGGAAGGAGGCGAGGTAGTCAGTATTGCCTAGGAATTTCCCCAGAAACTCCCCTGGGCAGGTGTTCCACATCTCCAAATGGTGGGAAATCCTTCATTCTTCATGCACTTTCATTTCACTATTAGAGTCTACTTGTGCTGGGAACATACAATAGCAATAGCAATAATGATAAGGCATTGTCCTTCTGGTGTTGGTGTCTGATTGGTTTGAACTCTGGGCACTCCTGCCCACTGGCAGTTGCAATTGTCACATTATACTGCAGACCAAATATCTCAGTATAGCATCCTTGATTACTTGAGAGGGGGGCAGCCTTTGGACATCTGTTTGGGGAACAGAGCATTGTAGGTGATTTTAGACGTTCTGGGGATTATTGCTTTCTTTTGTAGGTGCTTCCTTCATCATTCTTCATACAAACTGAATTCTGTTTCTTTGTTCCACAGCACTGATGTTCTGAGGAATCTTAGCAGGATTCCTCCAGAGAAAAAAATAAGTTTGGGAAATTCTGAGGAATTTCTTTGAGCTCAGCGTTCTTAGTATGTCAATGCACATCATATATGAATTTCTAAGAAGAGCATTTTGTTTATTTGTTTTTAAATACTGTCTGTGTGTGTGTATGAGTGGAGGTCAGAGGACAACTTGCAAAAACTGCTTCTCTCCTTCAACCTTGTGCATCCCAGGACGGAACCAGGTTATCAGACTTGTATACCTTTACCTGCTGGCCCCAAGGAAAGATTTTTTCAGTGTGTGTGTTTCCAAGTTTGACATGGCACTTTCTTTCTTTTAAAAATGTAATTCATTAGCATTTATCATTTGTTCATTTGTTTAGACAGGGTCTCTATATGGCTCTGGCTGTTTGGAACTTCAGAGTAGGCAAGACTGGCCTCCAACTCACAGAGGTCCACCCATTCTACTCCTCAGTGCTGTAATTAAATGCTTGAGATGTCACACCCAACTAGCATTTTTAATTTTAAAGAAATATTAACCTATATAGATTAGAGTTGTCAATATTACCTGGGTCTTCAATTCAAAACATAGATTCCCTGATCTTAGAAGAGGGCTGGGAATATAGCTCAATGGAGAACACTTGGGTAATTTGGCCAAGGCCCTGGTTTTGATCCTCTAGCCCTGCCAATAAATAATAATAGTAATAATAATAATGAGAGAGAATTTCTTAGATGAGGCTTAAAAACTTATACTTTAACAGACAACAAAAGGTATAGTTACTATACTGTATAATTGTGGTCCCTTTTCCCCTTATAGGCTGAAATTTTGTATCCTTTGGACAAAATCTCTCACTAGCCCTTGGTAACTTCTATTCTACTCTATTTTTATGAACTTGTCAGTTTTAGAGTCCACATGTGAGATAATATTGTGTGCCCAACTTAGTTCGTTCCTGATTCATAAATTTCATAGATATTACAAATGACAGAGAGAGAGAAAGAGAATGCATTAGAGCTGAGACAAGTTTCCATGTGTAAGCCATTTTGGCCTGGAACTCACTATATAGCCCTAGATGGTCTGGATTGCAAGTCAGTCCTGCTTCAGCCTTCCAAGTGATAGGATCATAAATGTATGTCACCACACCTAACTAAGATTGCCCTTTAGGACTTACCTATTTATATTTATGTGTATGTGTATATGTATGAGCATGCATGAATTTATGTGCACCACATGTGTGCAGGAGTCCACAGAGACCAGAAGAGAATGTCAGACACCCAGGAGCTGGAGTTATGGGTGGTTGTAAGCTGCCATGTGGGTTCTGTTAAGTCCTATGAAAGAACAGTAAGTGCTCTTAAACACTGAGCTATCTCTCCAGCTCTGGTTTCCTTCTTTGCAAAGATTGGAAAATATTCCTTTATGCATATATGTCACAGTTTCTTTATTTATTTAAAGGCATCCATTTGGATATCTACTGATTGACTACATAAATATCATATGTCTTATTTTTTCATATGCCTGTCAGTTGCTTACATGTCTTCTATTGAGAAACGCCCACTCTGCTAGGTAGTTTTATGTCAACTTGACACAAACTAGAGTCATTGGAGAGGAGGGTTACTTTGGTCATGGTGTTTCATCATAGCAATGGTAACTCTAACTGACACCTACCTGCTAGGATCTTTTGTCCATTGGTTGAGTTGTCTTTTACCATTGAATTTGTAGGAAACTTCAATTTTAAAACTCCTACCACTTTTCCTTCTACTGTAACCATACATAATGTTTTTATTTTTTCTTTTTCCTGAGGGGGGAAAAATCTGCTTTTCCTCATGGTATAGCTACCCATACTCTCTTCTTCCCCAATGTTCTTCTGTTTCCTTTGAGGTCCAGATCAGATACAGATTAATGTGTGTATGTGTATGTGTATGTATATGTGTATGTGGTAGTGGTAGTGGTGATGGGGTTTCCTATGCTCAAGTTACTGCCCAGTGTCATAGTCTACTTCCTGTTGCTCACATGATGATAATGGACTGAAGACTAAAACTGTAATCGAGCCCCAATTAAATGTTTTCCTTTATAAGAGTTGCCATGGTCACGGTGTCTCTTCATAGCAATAAAATCCTAACAAAGACACTTTTCTTTCTTTTATGTATGTCCGAATGTATTGTGTGTGTGCATGTGCACGTGTGTTGTAGGACAAAGTGAGGCATCACCCCTCAGGTGCTATTCACCTTTAATGCAAGATCTCTCTTGACCTGGAATTCACCACTTAGACCAGCTGGCTGGGTCAATAAGCTTGAAGTATCCACCCATCTCTGCCTCCCCAGCACTGGGATTATGTGCATGTGTCACCACTCTAGGTTTTTTGTTTGTTTTGTTTTTATATATGGATCAAAATCAGTTCTCAGATTGCAAGGGAAGCCCTCTCCTGCCTGGCTTCACCCTCTGGCTTTTCTAATATGTTATGTTAGGAGCCATTGAGACGCTCCAGCATCCTCCATCATCATGATAATGATCGTCGGTGTCCTGTTTACCTGAGGTTATGTCCTCAGGTGTTATTGGTGCACTGGTGCCTTCTTTTAAAATATCCTATTTTAGGAGCGCTTTCTCCAGGGCACTCTACTGTGCCCCCTTTGTCCTCCCTCGGAAGTCCATCCTCCTGTCTTCCTTTTGATCTTTGTGCTGTTATGAGTCATTCTCAGAGAAATGATGGAGATGTGTGTGAGGATTAAATAAAAGGACTTCAGGTAAGCAGTACATCCTGGAAGGATGAGAAATGGGAGATCTGCTTAGAATTAGGGTCCTGGGCACATGGCAACTTTCTTGCCTGGGAACTGAGCAGGGTTCAAATTTAAGCTCCTCCCCCACTGTGATCCAAAGAAGTAGAACCGGAAAGTACTGACAGATGTGAAGGCTTCACCCTCAGTTAGGCATTGAAGGATATAAACAGCTGTTGATCTCTTACCACTGAAACACTGAAAAAAAGGCAAGGCTTTCATCTGTTGCTGGATTTGAGTTTAACTAGGAGCCCGTGCTGCCAGAAGTCAAGCTTTTTCAGATGGAGAACACAAACACATGTGGCCCTCATAAGCCACAGTCCCCTCTGCTCTCCCTTGAACTCTCCTCGGGTCTCCTTTGGTGGGAACCCAGCAGATGTCTCTGTTGAAGCCTTTAGAAGAGCAGTGACTGCAGAAGCAAGGCCCACCTCCCTTTGATTTTACCTCTTTTAAAGATACAACCGAAACAGAACATAGAAAGCCGGACTTAAAAGAATACTGTTGCCTAATTGCAAAACTGTCTCTCTGTTCTGGTTCCAGCTTCCCTGCTTTTCTGTTACATAACAGGATTGAACACTGGAGATCTGATACGCAGACAGAAAGGGACGACAGAGTCCTCTGACTCATGGGTTTTGAAAAAGTCTGTGTAAAGTTGGGATAAGA